GCTGCGGTTTTCAGAATGGCTATGTGGAGAGGATGTCAACTGTAGGCCAATCTGAAAAACTTTGTTCATGTTATGAGAAAATTCCAGAAAAGGAACATCTGGGCTATTTATGTGTAATCTATAAATAATTTCAGTAGTTCTTCATGTACTGTAAATATAACAAATTAAAGATTAAATGATCTGCATCTCACTCAACAAACCAAAAACCTCAGTGCTTTACAGTTGATTCTTTCTGGCAGGTTTGATGTTCTGCTAAATCACAAAAAAATATCTTAGGGCTTAGAATAGGTGTGTGTGACTGTGTGAGAGTGTGTCAGGAACATTATCAAACCGTTGGGTTCTGTTGTTTCATATTAAAACAGCAGGGGTTAATACAGTATAACTCTTGTGGATGCAGAGGCAAGAATTTCTCACCTGAAAAGGTAGAAGCAGAAATTACCACAACAGTGTTTGGGTGCCTTCCTGCTGAATAAACATCCAGTGCATAGAATACCCTAGGTGTTTGTACTGGACTAAATTCTTTAAAATGGGAAAAGGCCAAAATAAATTTAGAGATAATTTAAAATCTACGATTAGAAGTTTTTAGAAGCGCAGGATCCAACCAAAAATAAACACTTTAATATATAGTCTGAAAAAAAGGTTTTGAGGGACGCCTCTATTCCAACATAAAATAATAAGAACTAAATGATAAAATAATAGAACTAAAGTGAGCCAGGGAGGTAAAAGAATTAAAAAGGATGGGTTCAGGAAAGAGTATAGAGAAGATCATAAAGGGGATGAAAAAGTTTGTGTCAGATTGATCCAAGTAATTTAAAATACTTGTAGAAGTGGAAGTAAAAGTATGAAATAGATGGTGTGTGGACGTAGATCAATGGAGAAATGTTATGTGCCGGCTAAAAACAAGCACTAGTGCGAGAATAGATAAATAAAATAAATAAATAAATACATAGATAAATAAATATATAAATAAATAAATGAGCTCCAAATGGCTAGTTGTTGATATAATACATGCGCAAAATAAATATGTTATCATTAAAAAATTTAATAAATAGATCTAAGGTTGTGTTTGTCTGGTTTTAATGTTATGTGTTTCTGTCTTTAAAGTTATGTTTGTGGGTCTTTTAAGTTGTTCGTGCGTCCAAACGATAATGAAACAGTTTAGAGGGAGACAGCTTGAATCTGCACAAGCGCAGGGGGGATATCACTGGAGCGATGGCTGCAGCATTGTTCCAATTGACAGCCTTCCTAATGCGTCTGCAGGGTCTCCAAAACTACAAGTTCGAAACCAAAATTTAAAATTAATAACCCACCAGAAAATTATTTTAGTCATGCAAGCTACCTACAGGGAATAAAAAAAATTTGAGGGATTAAATAAGTGGATTGTGCAAGCTAAAACATAGAAACAGCTATGAAGCAAAGTTTGGACCATAATTGGGCTCAAGTGAGGGGCTGGTGGTCACAGGGGAAAAACAATTGGTCACTGATGAAGAGGGATTCATGGTGGAAACTGATTTTGTGTGAAGCCCAGAAAGTCCAGTTAATCTATTAGGCAGAGATTTGTTAAGGAAATTGCAATTAGTGATGGTGCCTACAGACAATGCATGTCAGTGAGGAGATGCTGCAAGGGGAAGTTACAGCAGAGCTCAGATGCAGCTGACACACATGTGATGCATTCAGGCTCATTCCCAAAAACATAAATATTTCTAGCAATTAATGGACAGGCAGTTAGACTTATATGCAATTCAGGAGCCTGCAATACTTGTGTTAAAGATAATGTAAATGCTAAAACCATCTAAAAGGCTAATTTTTGTAAAATCAGCAAATAATCAAACATCCTAGGAATGCATGTCAGCCTTCAAACAGGAAAAATGTTGCAAGGTTGCATGTTTCGGTAGTAATATCACCAACTCACCCCATTAATCTGTAAGGATGGAATTGATGGGAAAATTAAGCAGTTTTTCTCAAACAGGAGGGCATGAAGGCCGAATGTGGGGAAAATGTAAATAGCGTTTCAAGAAAATCTTCTTGTGTTTATATGCACTATGCTAGAAGCACATTGTCAGATCCACAGGAGGAAACTCTGTTAGTTGAACAGTAGAACACTTTGAATTTGTGCAAAACAGTTTCTGAAACAAGACATTACTATAATGGCTACACAAATTATGTACATAAATGGGGGTTCTTAGCGGCAGTTACTGTTATGCTTACTACACAGATGTAAGGAATGTACCGCTTATCATGGGTAAATCATTTGTCATTGGTTAAGACCAGTGAAGCACAGTGGAGAGACACAGGCCTGCGTTTAGAAGCTCCAGAAGACGCATCTGATTTCTATCTATGTCCGCAACACACAAACGAGGCTGGCTCTATAGCCCTAACACAGAACTATGGAAACAGTCTTATAAAATTCTGTTTAATGTAAAACCCCAGGTTCAAGATTTAGCATGTGTTAAAATAACTCAGCATTCTTTGCTATCACAATTTGATGAAAATGATTTCAAAGATATTCCAAATGCATTGTGGTCTACAAGAAGAATTGATGCAAGACTGTTGACAACTATAGATTTAGTTGAAATAGTTCCTAATACAGGCCAAGGATAAAACAATATCTGCTAAAATGTGAAGCAAAGGAAACTATAAAACTAGTTATAAAATTTTTGTGGGTGCAGAAATAAGTCTGTTGTTTGGGCCATGTTATTTCAGAAGAAGGTAAAAAGTTACAAGAATGTCTTTTTAGAATTGTGCAATTACCGCAGGCCTTAGATTCCACATTATGAAAAAACTCAGCTTTTCTTAAGTTTTTTATATTGTGTAGTTGGATGTGTGAATTTAAATAGAAAACTGTAACCGAAGCGTGTAACAAAAGTATATTCCCTCTGGAATTATTAAAGTATTTCTGATTCTGATTAAAACCAGCAGCTATTTTGATCCATAAAATTATCATGTCTCAAACAGGGGGGAGTTATGATGAATATAGTATAGTAAACACACACACAGGTGTGTAACTACTACTGCTTTTAAAATTTTTTGCATGTCTCACATGTTCACTAATGTCTAAACATTTAAACATAAACTTTGAAACATCACTGTTCCTACCATCAACAGAGTACAGGATTAGTGGAGAGAATTAATGGAGAAATTAAAAACAGATTGAGAAAATTCATGGCAGAAATAGGAAAGCCATGGCCAGAGTGTTTGCATTTAATAAAACTACTCATGAGGATTACTCCCATATCTGATGGTTTGACCCCTTTTGAAATAGAATTAGTTTTGTTCTACCTTTATGGGAAGGACAGCCATTGGCAGAAAAAGAAAATTGACCCATTAACTATGTGAATTCTGAAGCTGTTCAGATACAGAACTGTTCAAAGAACATGTAATCTGCCCAGAGCTCCTTTTGTTTCCCCACAGGAAGGCCTGAAGCCTGGAGACCGAGTGCTGATTAAAATCACGAAGGGGAAAATTGGGCAGCTCCGAGGTGGGAAGGACCCTACATTGTGCAACTAGCAACTCCAACCACTGTGAAGATCCAGGAGAGAGACACTTGGATCCACCAGAGTCATCGTAAGCTGATTAAAGATTTTCCTCAGCAAGAAGCCCAGTTACCTTCACAGGGACCCCACGACTAAGGTAGGGATCTGTGGTGAAGTCCAGCTTCAAAGGGGTTTGGTTTTTTAGGACCAATCGTCTCAACGCTGGTGAAGTAACCAACCTAACCCAGTCTTTTAGAGTCCGGTTAGTGGGTGTTTCCTTGGAGGGACTGGTGAATATGTGAAAAACCAAAGTGGTTTTGCTGCCTGATGGTGACCATTGGACTCGTGCTCTTAAGGACTCAAACTGTCTGCCAGAAACAAAGGAAAAACCAGAATTGTTTTTGATGGATCCACAGCAAGTCATTCCCGTGGTGCCAATATGAGGTGGCAACATTCCAAGAATGTTGCTGAAGGTTTCAATAAAACGGACTGTTATGTTTGTACTCATACAGACCGCTCTGGATGAGTTGAAGATTTAAAGAGGTATGTTGACCATCACACCTCCGGGGCAAGTCCAGCACCATGGACAAGTTGGTTCACCATGGGATCATGGTGGCAGGTGTTGATGAAGATAGCTTTACCATTTGTAGGATTGTTTTTCATATTTTTCCTTAATACCATGTCTCCAGTCAATGATTCAGAGGATGATAGGATCCACTCTAATCCAGTATTCAGCTGTAACTCATGTTCAACTCCGCCAAGATGCTGATTAAGATACTGATGGTGTGACAACTGTGTAATATGTTACAGGGATAATGATCGCTTCCTCGGGAAGGATCGGGTAAGAATTTTCCTCTATTGGAGAGGTTTTGCCTACTCAAGTGACAGATTTTTGAAGCTTTTTACATTCTTGATAAATCTTACATTTTTGTTTAAGTTTTACATTTTAATCCTTTTCATATTTTTGTTTTTTGCATATTGATCTTTGATTACTGAATTCCCTATCTGCAATGCATTTATGATGTGTGTAGTAAAAATCTTTTTAGAAGTGCTATATGCTAATGTTTATATGCACAAGAGGAGGGAAATGTCAGGTTTATTCGATGATGATTATAAAATTGATGTGTGCTTATGAATCATTTGTGCAAGAGGGATGCTGCACTGTGTCTTGTGATGCAGTCAGGAGACCATCCTGCCTCGTCTTTCTGATGGAGCATCTTGTCTTAAGAACTGATCAATTGTTCTGTCAGAACAAATACTGTTTGGTAATCATGTGCAATGCTCTGTTAATAAAAGATGGCTGCAGGGGTGATTCATGGGAGGAAAGCTTGAAGTTGGGTTGGGCTTTTCCTTCCGCTCCTGCAGAAGCTGCTTGAACCTCTTTCCTGTGCAGATTCAATTTCTATTTATTTGCAAATCTACATTTCTTGAATCCAACAAAACTGTTCATCAGCTAAAGACAAAATGAGATGATCAGCTGTTAGTAAATCAGCAGGTCTGTGCTGAACAGCAGCTGCATCTTCTCTCACCCCTCAGAGATCGTATCCTGCAGGAAACCAGAAGTGCTGCTGATAACAGGATGATGATGACGACCAGAACAGCGACGATAACGGGAAGATCTGCAGAGATTCACAGGTTGCTTTCAACAGACGCCTACTGCTCATGATGGTGGAAGATACATCAGTTCTAAGAAGACGTCAAACCAGGTTCAATTTAGACTTCCTTCCTTCCTTCCTTCCTTCCTTCAGTCCTTGCCTTCCCTTTCTATCCGTCCTTCCTTCCTCCCTTCTTTCGTTTCTCACTTCCTTCCTTCCTTCCTTCCTTCCTTCCTTCTTTCAGTCCTTGCCTTCCCTTTCTATCCGTCCTTCCTTCCTCCCTTCTTTCGTTTCTCACTTCCTTCCTTCCTTCCTTCAGTCCTTTCCTTCCCTTTCTATCCTTCCTTCCTTCCTTCTTTCAGTCCTTTCCTTCCCTTTCTATCCTTCCTTCCTTCCTTCCTTTCTATCCTTCCTTCCTTTCTATCCTTCCTTCCTTCTTTCAGTTCTTTCCTTCCCTTTCTATCGTTCCTTCCTTCCTTCCTTCCTTCCTTTCTATCCTCCCTTCCTTCCTTCCTAACAGATTATAACTTACAGTTGTCAGATGGAGCTGCAGATGCTCCATTCTCAGACAGAGGTGGTGGATCAGTGGCTTCAGAGGCTGTTAGACAGAAATAGATCAACATTAGAACCTTCATAGGATTCAAACATTTATACTTTTAAACTGATTAGGTTTTTAATCATTTTTAAATACTTTAAACCAAAATATTATCAGATTTTTTTCTTTACATATTTAGATGAAGTACAGTTTGTTTGTCTGTACATCTTGTTTCAGACTCACCATCTGAGATGTTGATGCGATAATCTACGTTGGCGTTTGTCCCAGAATTTAAATATGAAAAACATCTGTATCGCCCAGAATCAAAGCGGGTCAGATTTTTAATGGTCACATAGAAGATCTTTGAAGACGCTGATTGGTCATGTCCGGTGCTGTATCTGCCGCTCTGAGCTCTGACTCCATTGGTGGAAACAAGAATGTCTTGTTCTTCTTCACATCCTCCTCGGCAGAAATACTTGTTTGTTCCAGCGAAGCTGAAGGAGCAGCCGACAGTGAGCAAGCTGCCAGGTTCTCTACTGAAGACACGATCTTCGCTTCCATTCAGCACAGCTGTTCAAAGCATCACACAGTCACTTCCTGTTTTCTAGCATGATGCAGTTTAATCACATTAAGCCCAGGGTTACCATGGTGATATGGAAGACCTTCTGACCATGAAAATGATTAGAATCAAGTTCAGCTTCATAATTAATACAGACCAATAAATGATTTCTGAAATCAAAGACGTTACATTTTTCAGTTTGCTGAAACATCTGCAGCTATTAGTGCAACTAAAGAGTCATTCAGTTCCTCTGGGACAAAACAACAAAAACTCACCTTCAGCAACAATTATGCTAAACATCACTGCTGGAGTAACAGAGGATCCCAGACCACACCTGAGCAGCCCAGAGTCAGACTGGGTCAGGTTGGAGATTCCCACAGTCAGATTGAAGGACTTTTCATGGACTCTTTCAGAATATTCGGTGGTGTGTCTTCCATTTGCTCCTTTTGCAGCCGTCGTGTTAACAAGAACGTTCTCTCCTTCACAATTTTCTCTACAGAAAATCTTTCTATCTCCTGGAGATAGATTATAGCACAGGATGCTGAGGTTTTCTCCAGTTACTCGATGGTAATGGTTGACTTGTTTAACAGAATTGCTGGTCCTGCCGAGAAGTTTAAACCCCATCAACTCCTCCTTTCTCTACAAATCTCACTATTCTAAACTTCCACCATAAAACAAGCGAATCCAAACGAAGCATCAAGTTGACGTAAACTCTCAGATGTTGCCTTATTTGGTTCTGGCCTGACCGTAAGGCCATCACAACCGCAGCTGTAAGTATGTTTCTGTCGCTCAGCTGTTGATAGCAACACTAGCATAGATATGGTGACCAGATTTGGACCGGACCGGGCATTCGAACCGAGCCGTCAGCATCAGCGTCAGGCTAGTCTGGGTCTGGAGCCAGCGGGGGACGCCAGCGGGGGATGCCAGCGGGGGACGCCAGCGGGGGACGCCAGCGGGGGACGCCAGCGGGAGCCAGCATCCCCAGCTGGCTCCCTCCCCCCATCCACCAGGGCTCCCAGACCAGCCCTGGAGGTGACGGCTCGATTCTGCTGAACTGTAGTCGACCAAAATCCCGAACGATTTTGAATTTCCCCTGGACATTTTTTAAGGTATGAAAAGTAGGACATGTGGGGGAAAGAGAGGACGTCTGGTCCCCCTACCATATCAACTATCTGATGTTTAAGTGAGTGAGTGCTTGTTGCTATGATGCGTCTTTGGCTCGTTGTAAACCAACTAATCAGAGCACAGCTCATCTAAATATTCATGATCAAACCATAAAAGGAAGAAAACCTGTGGTTTTATTCTAGGGCTTTTAACCAGGCTGCATTAGGGCCCATAGAACAGCTAATATGCCATTTTCAGCCCAACCAATGTTACACACCCTATTAGAGACCTGAAGGACCAGATACCCTATAGAATCATTCTATCACCCTATTAGAGACCTGAAGGACCAGATACCCTATAGAATCATTCTATCACCCTATTAGAGACCTGAAGGACCAGATACCCGATAGAATCATTCTATCACCCTATTAGAGACCTGAAGGACCAGATACCCTATAGAATCATTCTATCACCCTATTAGAGACCTGAAGGACCAGATACCCGATAGAATCATTCTATCACCCTATTAGAGACCTGAAGGACCAGATACCCTATAGAATCATTTATCACCCTATTAGAGACCCGAAGGACCAGATACCCATTAAAATCATTCTATCACCCTATTAGAGACTTGAAGGACCAGATACCATATAGAATCATTCTATCACCCTATTAGAGACCTGAAGGACCAGATACCCTATAGAATCATTCTATCACCCTATTAGAGACATGGAGGACCAGACACCCTATAGAATCATTCTATCACCCTATTAGAGACCAGAAGGACCAGATACCCTATAGGATCATTCTATCACCCTATTAGAGACCTGAAGGACCAGATACCCTATAGAATCATTCCATCACCCTATTAGAGACCTGAAGGACCAGATACCCGATAGAATCATTCTATCACCCTATTAGAGACCTGAAGGACCAGATACCCTATAGAATCATTCTATCACCCTATTAGAGACCTGAAGGACCAGATACCCTATAGAATCATTCTATCACCCTATTAGAGACCTGAAGGACCAGATACCCTATAGAATCATTCTATCACCCTATTAGAGACCTGAAGGACCAGATACCCTATAGGATCATTCTATCACCCTATTAGAGATCTGAAGGACCAGATACCCGATAGAATCATTCTATCACCCTATTAGAGACCTGAAGGACCAGATACCCTATAGAATCATTCTATAACCCTATTAGAGACCTGAAGGACCAGATACCCGATAGAATCATTCTATCACCCTATTAGAGACCTGAAGGACCAGATACCCTATAGAATCATTCTATAACCCTATTAGAGACCTGAAGGATCAGATACCCTATAGGATCATTCTATCACCCTATTAGAGACCTGAAGGACCAGATACCCTATAGAATCATTCTATCACCCTATTAGAGACCTGAAGGACCAGATACCCTATAGGATCATTCTATCACCCTATTAGAGACCTGAAGGACCAGATACCCGATAGAATCATTCTATCACCCTATTAGAGACCTGAAGGACCAGATACCCTATAGAATCATTCTATAACCCTATTAGAGACCTGAAGGACCAGATACCCGATAGAATTATTCTATCACCCTATTAGAGACCTGAAGGACCAGATACCCTATAGAATCATTCTATCACCCTATTAGAGACCTGAAGGACCAGATACCCTATAGAATCATTCTATCACCCTATTAGAGACCTGAAGGACCAGATACCCTATAGGATCATTCTATCACCCTATTAGAGACCTGAAGGACCAGATACCCGATAGAATCATTCTATCACCCTATTAGAGACCTGAAGGACCAGATACCCTATAGAATCATTCTATAACCCTATTAGAGACCTGAAGGACCAGATACCCGATAGAATCATTCTATCACCCTATTAGAGACCTGAAGGACCAGATACCCTATAGAATCATTCTATAACCCTATTAGAGACCTGAAGGACCAGATACTCTATAGGATCATTCTATCACCCTATTAGAGACCTGAAGGACCAGATACCCGATAGAATCATTCTATCACCCTATTAGAGACCTGAAGGACCAGATACCCTATAGAATCATTCTATAACCCTATTAGAGACCTGAAGGACCAGATACCCGATAGAATCATTCTATCACCCTATTAGAGACCTGAAGGACCAGATACCCTATAGAATCATTCTATCACCCTATTAGAGACCTGAAGGACCAGATACCCTATATAATCATTCTATCACCCTATTAGAGACCTGAAGGACCAGATACCCTATAGAATCATTCTATCACCCTATTAGAGACCTGAAGGACCAGATACCCTATAGAATCATTCTATCACCCTATTAGAGACCTGAAGGACCAGACACCCTATAGGATCATTCTATCACCCTATTAGAGACCTGAAGGACCAGATACCCTATAGAATCATTCTATCACCCTATTAGAGACCTGAAGGACCAGACACCCTATAGGATCATTCTATCACCCTATTAGAGACCTGAAGGACCAGATACCCTATAGAATCATTCTATAACCCTATTAGAGACCTGAAGGACCAGATACCCTATAGGATCATTCTATCACCCTATTAGAGACCTGAAGGACCAGATACCCTATAGAATCATTCTATCACCCTATTAGAGACCTGAAGGACCAGATACCCTATAGGATCATTCTATCACCCTATTAGAGACCTGAAGGACCAGATACCCGATAGAATCATTCTATCACCCTATTAGAGACCTGAAGGACCAGATACCCTATAGAATCATTCTATAACCCTATTAGAGACCTGAAGGACCAGATACCCGATAGAATCATTCTATCACCCTATTAGAGACCTGAAGGACCAGATACCCTATAGAATCATTCTATCACCCTATTAGAGACCTGAAGGACCAGATACCCTATAGAATCATTTTATCACCCTATTAGAGACCTGAAGGACCAGATACCCTATAGGATCATTCTATCACCCTATTAGAGACCTGAAGGACCAGATACCCGATAGAATCATTCTATCACCCTATTAGAGACCTGAAGGACCAGATACCCTATAGAATCATTCTATCACCCTATTAGAGACCTGAAGGACCAGATACCCGATAGAATCATTCTATCACCCTATTAGAGACCTGAAGGACCAGATACCCTATAGAATCATTCTATCACCCTATTAGAGACCTGAAGGACCAGATACCCTATAGAATCATTCTATCACCCTATTAGAGACCTGAAGGACCAGATACCCTATAGGATCATTCTATAACCCTATTAGAGACCTGAAGGACCAGATACCCTATAGGATCATTCTATCACCCTATTAGAGACCTGAAGGACCAGATACCCGATAGAATCATTATATCACCCTATTAGAGACCTGAAGGACCAGATACCCTATAGAATCATTCTATAACCCTATTAGAGACCTGAAGGACCAGATACCCGATAGAATCATTCTATCACCCTATTAGAGACCTGAAGGACCAGATACCCTATAGAATCATTCTATCACCCTATTAGAGACCTGAAGGACCAGATACCCTATAGAATCATTCTATCACCCTATTAGAGACCTGAAGGACCAGACACCCTATAGAATCATTCTATCACCCTATTAGAGACCTGAAGGACCAGATACCCTATAGAATCATTCTATCACCCTATTAGAGACCTGAAGGACCAGACACCCTATAGAATCATTCTATCACCCTATTAGAGACCTGAAGGACCAGACACCCTATAGAATCATTCTATCACCCTATTAGAGACCTGAAGGACCAGACACCCTATAGAATCATTCTATCACCGTATTAGAGACCTGAAGGACCAGGTACCCGATAGAATCATTCTATCACCCTATTAGAGACCTGAAGGACCAGATACCCTATAGAATCATTCTATC